AAATCTACTTTTACATCTCAAGGGCTTACCACGATGTTGCCTAAGAATGAAAAAAAAAACTGTTATGAGTATTACTGCTGGTACTTCTAATATTAGTGATTTGTGCTTTATTTTTATGTAGCTCAGGCTGACTTTAAAATTTCTATTCTCCTGCCTCGGTCCCCCAAGTGCTGGATTTGCAGCACTTGGCTCAACTGCTGCTTTTGATGCTGTGGCCTCCGTAGCTGGTTAGCTAGTTGAGGCCCTCAGGCCTGAAGAATGGGCATGGGCTTGTCTCACTGTGGTCCCCTAGCACCTCCATAGAACAGCACAACAGGAGGATGTGGAAGAATCATGGGGAGAGAACATTGGAAAGGCGTGTAGAAAACTCTGCACTTCAGAGAGCAGTAGGACCAGTATGAGTTTGCTGGAAATGTAGGGTTTCTGGAAATACTTGTCCACAAGGAATACCTACTTTCTGTCTAATCCTGCTTTCTCCCAGTAAAGGAATAATTGCCCCAAGTCTAGTGATGACGGAGGAAGAGAGGCAAACTTACTCCATGTCTCCCAGCACACATGCTATTAATGCCAGAGAAATCATTCATCAGTCTGACAAACCTGTGTAACTCTTGGCTTACACGCTGCTTTCATTGTCTGTGCATTCAGGAAAATGTGACTGCCTGGATCTTTTTCCTATGTGGTTTGTTTTTTTCTTTTTATGATTCAGAGAGGAAACAAATATGAATGTGATTTGTTAGCTGTCAGGCCCCAGCCGGAAGAAGGTGCTCTCATTTGACCATGCCAAGTTTTTCTTCTGCATTTCTCATGGCACTTTAGACTGAATCATGATTTAGTGGAGTTTAGAGGGGAGAGCTTCAGTCCAGAAGGAAGGACCTCATGAGAGGTGGAAAGACTTGAGGGTGAAGTCATGCACCACCATGGTGCCATGTCTGTGGCCCTCAAATTGTGGGGAAAGTATCTCGAAGATGCCCAGCTCTGTGGTACGATAGGAACTGGATGGACATTCTGTCCTGAACGCCTGTGCTACACGGAAGGCATTGGGCTCATTTGTGCAAAAGATTCCTTGAATAGAGAAAAGAGAAGCGAGCCGGTATGGTTCTGAGTGCTTTGCAAACAGAGAGGAAACAGCCCAAACTTAGACTCACAGATCTGCATGTGTGTTTCTTCCTGTGGCCGAGGCAAGTCTTGAAACCACGTGCAGCTCATTTTTATAGACGTTAATTAAGCACAATGAGAATAACAATTATTCTTTCGTGATCTCTTAGAGCTTTTCTGAAGACAAAAGAGAGATATCGCCAGACCTGTAGCAGGGAACCCAAACATCGGGGCATTCTCACCAATGTTTAGACACATGTCTGTGGGACTTCTGCCTATTTTAAGAGATTGTCTTAAACCGTGTAAGTCATGTGGTTAAAATATAGTGTCTAGGGTGCTCTTTTGACAAAATGTAGGGATGGCTCATGATAAAACACAAGCCCGGTCATGCTACCTTGTGGTAGAGAAGCACTAGTAAGAATTCAGTGGTGAGCTAGTGTAGTGGTGAGCATCCCTAATCCCAGCATTCAGTAGTCCGGAGGGTGATGAGTTTGAGACTGGCCTGGTAGACATACCAAGACCCTGTCTCAATGATGATGATGATGAAGGTAGATGAGAAAAGAAAGGGAGGTTCCTGTGGTAAATAAATGTTGGTGTAGCAGCAAAGCATGACACTATAATCCTTTGACAGAACAAAGGCTTTTGTCCTTAGTCCCCTCCTTTGTCCTTTCTGCATTGAAACCTGCATGAAGGGGAACCCAGCCAAGTCCAAGAGCAGGAGGGAACACCGAGCTGAGTGTAGTGAGCTCAGAGGCCCATGGGCTGAGTAGGCTGCCAGGTCTACAATTCCATGGCCTCCTTGGCCATGAGTGTCATGTCGTCAGCAAGGCTGCACCATGAAACAATAATGGCAATGCCCGACATCATAGTTCACGTTCTACTAGGGTAGCACAATGTCACATGACAGGGAACTTTTAGGAAATTCTCTTCTGGAAGAAAAAAAGAATGTCAGTCCCTTAGGCTGGAAGCCCAGTGCCAAGGTAGCCTCTAGTGTGGGCCTTCCTGCTGTGCCATGACGTGGCAGCGGACAGCATGTGGGGCAGCAGAAGCAGAAAAACAAAACCAAGGGATCTGAACTCCCTCCTGTGACAGCACAGACCCCATGACCTAGGCTGGTCCTTGAGGCCTGCTATCAGCCTTCAGTGCCAGCCACTCTGACGTGGGCTCTTTCATTCAATACGAGGGAGATGTCAAGGAGCCACTGGGAATACTATCCTAGTGAGGCTTCATCTTGGGGATAAGAGAGGCAGCACAAGAAATGAGGCCCTGCCATATGACAGAACCTTTCCCAGGGAGACACAGCTCACCCCAGCTAGGAAGTTCATGATAGATCAACGTACAGATACCACCAAAGTCCAACTTAGTGAATCATGGCCTTTATTAGGGTTGCTTAAAGGAGTGTGGGTGAGGGTTACACACAGGAGCAGAAATGACTCCAAGAGAGCTGCACCACCAGAGGCCACCCCAGCATGGGTGACAGTTTACAAGAGCTAGAAACCTGAGACACTGTCTGCAGGTAGCTCACCAGGCTGGAGAGTGTCCTTTCCAAGTGACATGGTTGATCTAAACCTCTTTCAGGCAGCCAGCATAGTTTCTGCTTCTTCCAGGCAGCTCGGCTTGTCTCAGAGTGACTCTCGGCAGCGAGTCAGGGCCCTAGTGAATCTGGTCCGTTTCAGGGACTTCCTGGGACTGCTCTGAGATGCTCACCTTCCTTTTCGAGGAGCATCCCTGCAGGATGGGATGTTTGGGTTTCAGAGGAAATGGTTACGCAGCAGGCTCCTGTCATGACCTCCTAGTAAGGAAAGGTTAAAGTTTGTATTCAGATGTATTGACCTTTGACCCGAAGCTGGAACAGGTGTGTACAGGTGCTCATTCTGCGTGACCTATGAAAGTGTTCATCAGCAACACTGGGTGGATGTGAGGCACTGGAAGTGGGGTAGTAAACAGAGCAAGACCACACTTGTTGACCAGGAACAACCCAGTAGAGGAAGTGTGGCTCTTCTCGATGTAACACTTCTCTCTGCCAATCTGATTACACTGGAAAATAAATTTTGACATAAATTTTGGAGCCAACACTCAAACAGGCATTAGGGGTTTTGTGCTGCTTCATCTGAACATTTTCTACACATTTTTTAAAAGCTCTAAGGGTACTTCCCACCCTAACCCTCCCAGTCAGGGGTTAGCAAGTGACCCAGCTCAGATACGGCATCATGCTGTTTTGATTTCTATCATTGCTGTGTTAAAATTGTCACGGGGCAACTTAAAGGAGGGAAGGCTTATTTTGGCTCATGGGTCCTGGTGAGGAGGGCGTGTGATGGGAACACGAGGCAGCTGGTCGTGTTGCCTTCGAGGTCAGGTCAGCAAGGAGAGGGTCTCTTACTCCAGCAGTTGTTAACTCCTTTTTAATACTGCTGAGGAGGGGCCCTCCAGAACATTCCAAGTGTTTGTTTCCCCAGACACATGATCTTTGTTTACCCCTCGAGCCTTCCCCTTCTTCTCCTCAACATGGAAAAAACTGCTGTACAGCAAGGAGTCATGGTGGAGCTGAACAATTCCCCTCATGAAAGCCAGACAGAACTATTTCATTCCACTCAGACTCCTTGTTTATGGAACAGGAGGCTGTGTGATAGTGTTCTTGTATACTGTACAGATTTGTCACTCATATTGGTCTAATAAAATGCTGATTGGCCAGTAGCCAGGCAGGAAGTATAGGTGTGGCAACCAGACAAGGAGAATTCTGGGAAGAGGAAAGGCAGAGATGCAGTCACCAGTAAGACACAGAGGAATCAAGACAAGAATACCTTACTGAGAATAGGTACCAAGCCATGTGACTAAACATAGATAAGAATTGTGGGTTAATTTAAGTTGTAAGAGCTAGTTAGTAATAAGCCTGAGCAATAGGCCAAATAGTTTGTAATTAATATAAGCCTCTGTGTGTTTATTTGGGACTGAATGGCTGTGTGTCAAGGTGGGAAAAATCCATCTATAATAGGATCACCCAAATTTTAGTTATTCTTCTCTGACAACTCATAGATATACACAAAATGTGCTTCAATAATTTCTTGGGTGTTGCTCTGTGCCATCATGTTGACAATCAAGGTATGTCATCATGCCTGCAATTTGTCTTCCTAAATGCTAGCTCCTTTACTCGTTAAAGCTCAGTGGTTGATCAACCCCATAGAGCAGTGACATGTCTGTTACTGAAGAGCCAACAAGGGAATCATCTAAAGGCAGATTACTGGGGCCAGGCAATCCCAGTATTTCACACACAGGGCGGGAAAAGTTAGGTTGCGGCAAAGGTCACAGTGTTCAACCAAGTCAGTCCCTGACATCCAGAAGGCAGGTTACCTCACTATCTTCTGAGACAACACCATTCATTCAGTGCCTGCTTCTATCCAGAGGGCCTGCTACAGAGTTCCCTGTGATCCTGTCCTCAGTTTGGGGGCATGGACCCTCTTTGGCCTAACCTGTTTCTCATTCATAGCCACCCTCTGCCCTCTTCTTAACTACTTGATAGCTGGAAACGAGACACAGGTGTGTTTCTGCTACCGCTAGGTAGCCCGCCATCCTCCAGAGCCAGCTCTTTATGGGATCTCCATAGTCTTTCTAGGATCCGGATGGCTGGACCAGCCAGTGCATCTCCAAGGATCATGCCTAGTTTTGACTCTAGATATATTTCAGCCACACCTGGGAGCTTGCTCATTTTTCTGAAACATTTTGTAAGTAAAATATTACAGTCATGCCGTTCAGTGACTGGCAGTGTGAGTTAATCATAGCGTGATCACCGTGGAGACACTGTGGAGTGATTTGGCACTGGGCTGAGGCTGCATGTTCCTGTGGGGATGGCAAGTGCAGGAGTCGGCTGCTCGCTTAACCTGCTGTTCTTTTCTCTCTCTCTCTCCTAGGAAGCAAATGGAAGACTGTTGCGATCCAGCCCATCTCTTTGCTATGACGAAGATGAACTCCCCCATGGGGAAGAGCCTGTGGTATGATGGGGAGTTTCTATACTCATTCACCATTGACAACTCCACCTATTCCCTCTTCCCCCAGGTGAGTGGAACCCATTGCATTGTGGGGCAGCTCCTGACCTTTCTCCCTAAATGAAGGCTTTACGGGGTCTGCTGACCCCCTGGGCCTGCTGCTCTTCATCTTCTCTTTTCTCATCTTAATTGTGCACATTTTTCTCACATCTTTTTATGTTTTCTGCTTTGATGCTCGGCTGGAAGTAAGACGTTAAGAGGAAGGACTTCATAGAGCTGCAGTTTTCCCTGCCATTTAGATTTCAGACATAAGAAACTCAGGCAAACAGTGGTCAGGGAGTGCTGGGATTCCAGTGCTGAGGTGGGCTGTGGGAGGATGGTGAGGATTTGAGATAAGAATGTTTACTTAGGATTGATGCTGCCACTGGGGAGTGGGGACCATACATCTTCTCTGAACTCTTGAGTGCTAACCCTACAGCTACATTCTTGCTCTCAAGTGGAGGAGTGGTGGGGAGAGAAAGAATTCAGTCTGACCACTTTTGAAATGGTCGAAAACAGTTTTGCTTACTTGGCGTTTCCCTGCTTGCTTTCCTGAACATTGCAGTGAGATAATTTTCACTAACTAGTTTGAAAAAGACAGATTTATTTTTTTATTTTAAAGAACCCTTGGTGTTGGTTGGGGGGAGGTCTTTGGTGAAACAGGGAGAATTTGAGAAATTAATTTTGGTCTTCCCAGGTCTTCTGGGTGACTTCAGTTGGGCCAGATGGTTGTGTGTAGAGGACTCATGTTCAGCCTTAGACAGCAGGACTCGGTTTCTGAGTAGTTCTGTGATGAACAGATCACAAGCTCATTCGCAGAGTAGACGGTCTTATCAGTTTGTCACATGGAATCCAGAGTCACAGGCCCTACAAGGCGCGCCTGCCCTGCTGGGAATATACCTGAGGGTCCTAAGTCAGCTTTCCACAGAGATGCCTGCATCTCTGTCCATGCGGACCACGACACAGAGCCAACCTAGATGTCCCCTGGCAGAGGAATAGATAAAGAGGATGTGGTACATAGACACAAAGAAAAATTATGCAGTTCTGAAGAAAAATGGAATCAGGACATTTATAAGAAAATGAATAGAACTGGAAATCATTATGCTAACTGAAATAAAACAAACTCAAAAAGTCTATATCACATGTTTTCTCTCATGCAGAATCAAAACATGCATGTGTGTGTGTACGCATGTGTACATATGTGTGTGTTTGTGTGTTGTACGTATGCGTGTATATATGTGTATTTGTGTGTACATATGTATGTGTGGTTGTGTGCGCATATGTGTGTATATGTGCATGTAGGTGTGTATTTGTATGTGTACATATATGTATGTGTGTATGTGTGTGTAGGACATGAAAGTAGAAGTGAGAGTATGAGAGGGAGGAAGGACGAAAGGAAGAGGGAAAGGGAAAAAGAAGAGGATGATGGGAAACATGTGGCATGAACACAGAGGGAAGAAATGTTTGAGGTATGGAGAGGACCAGAGAGGAGGACAGAGGGAAGATGGAGCAGGCTGGGGTACAAATCAGAACAAAGTATAATGAATTAAATGTATGAAAGTGTCACAGTGAAGCCTATGACTTTGTTATGCTAACCAAAAATTAATAAAGCCACAACAACAACAACAAAAAAACCCATCCTGTATTTATTGGATCACTCTTTGGTGTGTTAGATAATTGAATGGTTTTGGAAGGTCTGCTGTTTAAAGTAGGAAAAACCAACAACTAGGAAATAGGGGGCTGCAGAGAGGGGGAGCAATTGTTGCTCTTGGAGAAAACCTGGCAGCTCACAATACCCGTGACTCCAGTTCCAGTGGATCCGACTCCTCTTCTGACCTCCTGGTGCATCAGGCATACATGTGGCACAATACATGCCCGCTGGCAAACACTCATATACATTAAATAGATAGAAATGAGGAAGTATTGGCTGGGTGGACTACTCAGTGATGAAGAACATTTGCACCCTAAGCATGGGGGCATGAGTTCTAATTGCCATTGTCTGAATAAAAGCTGGTCATGTCTGCTGTGTCTGCACTCTTGCTTGGGGGTGGTGTAAGAGCCGGGCCTGTCTGCTGTGCCTGTACTCCTGTGTGGGGTGTGGTGTAAAAGCTGTGCCTGTCTGCTGTGCCTGTACTCCTACATGGAGTGGGACTGGACACAGGTGGATCCCAGGAGTCATAGGCCAGCCAGCCAGCCTAGCTAACTCAGTGAGCTCCTGCTTCAACGAGAGGCCCTACCTCAAGACAAGCAGGCAGAAAATGGTAGAATATGACTTCCAAGGTCCTCTTTCCTCCACATGTGTGCTCATGGGAGCACTCATATGCATGTTCCACATACATGTACAGCACACTATGCACACATACACATATGCACATACACACATATACACACACATATACATGCTAGTAAATCAGGCTTTAATTCTGTCCCAATGTTCATGTGCTCTTGCATTCCATTGTTTTTGGCTCTGGAGACTTCCTAATATCGAAGGAAGGTGTGGATTTAAATTTTGTCTATCTAAATGCCAACTAAATGCCTTGGGTAACTCCCCTGTCTCCCCTGAGACTCAGCTTTCTTCTCTGTATGATGGAGAGAGGAGTGTGGGTCCTGTCTATTCAGAATGGTAGTGGAGTCCTAGTTTTCTCAAGCACGCTGGTGTGCACTGTAACCCCTAATTGCCAGTACTGATAGTTCTCTGACTCATGAGACCAGGAGTGTCAGTCAGGACAAGGTATGGAGATCACTCTGGGCATTTGGGGTGAAAAAGTAATTTTGTCGGGGGATACACTAGAAGAAGGGGTGAAGCGTCAGCCAAGATGTTACTCCTGGAGTTAGGTTCCAGAACTCGATATCAGTGCTCCAGGACCAGAACATTCTAGAATGATTGTCTTTTGTGTGACCACAGTCACCTCCAGAAGAAACAGTTGCCAGAAGATGGGTTCAGGACTTCCCTTCCTTCAGGTCTCATTCAGGTACAAGCAATGCAAAGATGAATTTCCATCGGAAGCATCCGATTCCTAGACGTAGGAGACAGGCAGCCTTTCACTCCCAAGATTCATCAAGGTGGTAAGGAAAGAGTGGTATCCAATGCTAGCCGATGCGTAAGATCCTCTATGAAACTAGCGCTAGCCAGGCAGGGTGGCACACACCTGCAGTCCCAGTCCACGGGAGGCTTGAGGCAGGATGAGCCCACCTCAGATCACATTGAGGGCTACAGCACACCAGGCACATTTGATCTGAATTCATCTAAGCCTTTACTCTGTGAACAGATAGGATCTGATGCCGCACTGCCCATGGCATGGAGGAGGAGACTCAGTCTAAAGTGCAGGGTGAGTTCCAGGCCAGCCTGAGTTACACAGCAAGACATGGTTTTAAGACAAACAAAACAACAAAGAACAGATACTGATGAGCTAAATGAAGACAAGAAAAGAAACAATTGTCTTTAACAGTTAAGAAAAAAAGCTAAAATCAATCGAAAAAAGGCTTTGGTAGTGGAGGGTTTCCAGATAGCGAGTGACCTTTACCTTCCTGGTAGGAAACGGATTGAAGGGAAAGAGATGATTAAAGAGAGACAAACGAGCCTGGCGCCGTCTCTGACAGTCCCGGGACCAGGACAGAAGGAAGCATTTCCTTTTCTCTGTGCCCGTCACCATCCCACAATAATAAAAGAAAACTGTGGTTTGTGTAGGGACCAGAGGTCATTACATCACTATGTGTGCTTAATTGTGCAAAATGCACAATAAATAGATTTTTTTAAAGATGCATGTGTATTTTCCTGTGAGATTCCGGAATGATGAGCACTCTGGAGGACCAGTAGCTTCCTGTGGATGCCCCTCCCCCATGTTTCTGGTCTGTTACAAGCAGACTAAATTGCCAGCCAGGTGGTGCCCTTCATTTGTGTTGCTCCTGGGAAGCAGAAAGAAAAACTGGCCAGCCCTTTCCCACTGTCATCAGGCTAGTTCAGATTCAGAGGCTCCATCCAGGGTGTGCCTGAGCTGCTCATGTCTCACGGCACACAGGAAGCACAGTGGAGTCAGAGCAGGAAGTGGTCAGGACAAGCTGTTGCCCCCAAAGACAAGGAACCCCTTACGTAATCTACTTCTTCCATCTGAGACCGCCTTCCATCATTCCAGAGCCTTCCAATAATCTACTCGAAATTTGAATCTATCCCTGGGTTAAAGCATTCATTAGGCCACAGCCCCCACCATCTAACCTTCTCTGGAAACAGCCAACACAGGGGTGCATCACTAACCCCCACTGCTTCTCAGTCCCATCAACTCTATAATCAAGATGCAGCATCAGACTGAATTCCAGTCAAGCCGTTCCCTGGTTTTCCGGGGTCACCCATTCGATTGTCAAGTCCCCAACACTGCACATGTGTTAGCCACAATTCTTACTGTTGTTATTCCTCTGCCACTTTTAATCATTTTATTGTTGCTGCCAAAATGCAATCGAAGAGAAAGGTGCCGTATTTGTTGGGGAGTTTTACCAGGCCCTCTTTAGGACTGCATGCGTAGACAAGGACTCTGGAGTTACTTGGGGATGTTACACCAAAGCTCTGTTACCATAGTCTGCCAGTTCTTACCCAGACCTCCCACAATTTCCTGTAGCCTCATTATCAGCTATATTAAATTCTGACACAGGCACAATAGTTCTCCATATAATTGCATATGTGCACATTGCTGTTTCCTCGGAGTTCTCTCCTGGTTCCAGGACTCTGGTGTGCGCTTTCGAGGGATGAGCTTTCTTCTTTGTAGTAGAGCAACGCTTCCCACATTATACTGATACCGTTTCCATCTGCTCATTCGCCAGGATACCCTGTCCAGTCCCACTCAGGCCGAGCTTTAGGGGATCAAGAGCTCATGTTGCTGTGTCCGAATGGCTCTGTGAATGGATTTTGGTGAAATAACTGTTGAACATGGTTAGACACGAAGGCTGATTTTATTTTATTGATTTATTTATTTTGCTGGAACTTTTAATAAGGCTTCTTGGATTCTGCTTCAAATCTCTCAAAGATGGGAGTGAGGCTAA